CATAAAGACTCTTGAAGGGTGAATAAGGTTTGTAAGTATCATGCTCAGAAGTTATTTAAATCCCCAGCCCTTTAAGCATGAGAAAAGAAACAAGCTTCATCTGTCAGAATATGGAACACACTCTGCTGGACTGCTTTGATTGACAAACCATTTGGTGTCACATGAACCACGACCTGTTCCAATGGCGTTCAATATTGACATACCCCAATAACTTCTATTACCACTGTAATAAATATTTAAATGTTTGGCTAGTATAAATGTTTGGCTAGTTTTTAAAAGTTCCAAATTCACATATCTCAACAGGAAGACTAAATTTATATTTTTATTGACAGTGTTGAGAAACTATTACTGGGTTAACTACCATTTGTGTGGCTATTAAATAGAAGTATGTTTACTTTCATAAAAGATTGAGCACTTAATAGAATTTAAAATCTTTGACAGGTATCATGAGCATCAGGTTTTTCTTTTATCTGTATCAAGTATCAATATGCAAGAGCTAAGTTGGGTTGTTAGAAGCTTTTATTTCCGTCCGCATGACTCCTGAAACTGGCTTATGGTGTATTCTAGTTGAATGACCATGAAGGTATGAGGTAGCATGAGTGTATGAGGGGCCATGGAGGTAGGTTACAAAGTGGCATGGACATGGCAATGATAGCGAAATCATAAGAGGTATGGTGGTCATGGTATGGGTTGGGCTTAAGAGATATTGGTCCTTTATAAAAAAAAGTTTAGCATCTCAGAGAACTGAGGTGAACTAGGCTGCTTAAATATGCTACTTCAACACTTGCCAATCTCCATGATTGCCTCTGAAGTTCCTCCAGAGGCAACAAGCCCAAAATCATCATTCCATTGCGAACATCCCTACCTCCCAACCGCCCTGCTGCCATCTAAAGTGAAAACTGTGCATGTGAGTTTGTTTCCATGCAGGAGTGATTGCAGACTTGGAGATTTTAAGACAAGCTTTCTGTCCAAGTTAAGATTTTGGCGCGAGGTTTCAAGAGGACTATTACATGAACAAATACCTACAAAAGAATTTGTTCCAAAATCGGTTCACAACAATTTTCACAAATTAAAATTCAATTTAATTTAAAGCTTTAGACAACAGAAATTAAAATTTTGTCTCCAAATGGAGGCAGGACATGGGATACAAAATTTGTTTCTTGTTGGAAGAAAAGCAACCTCTCTCTGTTTCATTGCCCCATGCCATTTTCATGTAGGTTTTTTGCAGGTTGGGCAGGCTCAGTGTGCAAAACACACATGCGCCTAAACCAAAGTTTGTATCTACATTGTAAGGAGCACAGGACAATGGTACTTCCCGAATCACACCAATTTTTCATGATATTGTGAGGTTTTGGAAATATAAAACAATGTTTCCTTGGAGAGATCCTGACTGCTGGATGATACTTGATGAGCAGTTGAAATATTCTGAGAGGTAATTGGAAAGTATTTTGACAGCTTCAACTGTAACAATTGTTGCTGTGTGGTAATATGGATTGTTTTTTTAATACAAGGATTCATCAGAAGGATCTGTCATGTAAATTAACTCTTATATTAACCAGCATTGTGCTTTGTTCACATGCATTACAATAGTTTTCTAATTGCCAAAAGTGCCGTAATGCATTAAAAATATAAACTAAGAAGTCCTGTCAGCCTCCGAGGTCATGGTTTGTCCTGTAATTTAAACCAACTGATAGATATGTCTGTTAAAACAAAACTTTCCTATTGAAAGTTGAAAAAAAAGTCTTTGCTTCTGTTCCCCTCTGGCACACTGCTTTGAAATGGAAATGGGACAACATTCTTGTTTTATCAGTTTCAAACAATATTGGGACATCTGTAACTATTATGAATGCTTGAATAGGTTTCAAAAGTGTAAATGGCTTCAGCTCAACAAGTGATCTAATGATGCAGGTTGATGTGTTTCTTATTGATTTATAAACTTGTTAGGCGCTTAAAGGATTACAATTATTTTTCACTCTCTATTCATTCACAGGATGAGGGTGTCACTTACTGGGCAGCATTTATTGCCCATCCCTAATTGCCCAGAGGGCAGTTAAGAGTCAACCACATTGCTGTGGGTCTGGAGTCACATGTAGGCCAGACCAGGTAAGAACAGCAGTTTCCTTCCCTAAAGGGTATTAGTGAGCCAGATGGGTTCTTCCAACAATTGACAATTGACAATGGATTCATGGTCATTGTTAGACCCTTAATTCCAAATAATTATTGAATTCAAATTCCACCATCTGACGTGGTGGGATTCAAACCCTGGTCCCCAGAACATTATCTCGGTTTCTGGATTAACAGTCCAGCGATAACACCACTAGGCCATCACCTCCCCGAATAGATTTTCTTTCCTTTGCAGCATCAATGATAGGTTTGAATTTTAGGTTTTACTTTATAGGTTTATTTCTTTCCAATAATTTCAAAAGAATTTGCATTGCTTGTAGGTGATTTAGAAACCAAGAATTATGATTGACAAAATCTCACACTAAATCTACCAGCTTGAGAACTCTCAAAAGTTTAAGTTAAATTACACAGTTTCTCCTCGGGTGGATGATCTGATATGACGGTAGGTCACTTGTGAATGACCCTTGACTAAGTTCTTCTTGCTTGGTTCACCAGGTCTCTTGTCATTTATACATGTCTTCTGTTTTCTTTCTCAAGCTTCCCTGTGGGCTTCTTCTTAGGATTTATATACAGAATGCACTACGTAAAAAAGCTCATTCAAATGTCTCTAGATGTGGATCGGTTGTTGTGTGCATGATCATTTATTAGTTGGTTAGCATTTTCTCAAATTGTCGTCCATTGGATTAGCAATATAAGGATTTTTCTGTTCTTCACAGTGATTACATTTTTGGTTTCAATCATCTCGTTAAATTCCACAAACTTGCTGTAATTAACAGTTTTATAGAATTGAAATTGTTCTATTCAATCAACAATATAACTGCAATTAACAAGTATTAATGTATTTAGTGAGAATTGCATCTAACCAGTTTCCATAGAACAAATGATGCTACGAAACAGCCCATTAACTTCCATATATCTATTGCATGGCTTATGAGGACTGCACACAGTGGACAGTAGTTGAGTGAGTATGGAAGATATATAGGTGGTATGGACATTCTTAGTTGGCATAGGATATCATGGTGATCTGCATGGGCATAGTTGGCATGGGTGGCTTGGTGATCTAATGGGTTATGGGGTGCAACACATGTTCAAGGTGGGCATGAGATGCAATAGTTGTTTCAAGGGGGCATGGGGTGACATGGGTATTTGAATGGGTACAGAGTAGCATGGGATTTGAATGGCATGTGGTGGCAAAGTGTGGATGAGGATTGAATTTTACAGACCCTTAGGAGTTGGACTGCTGTGTTGGAAAGACAAAGGTGAGCCTTCTAACCAGTCTGCTACCATATCTGCCATCTTCATGCTCACAAATGCATCACAAGCTCCATCATTTATGAGAAAAGCAAACGTTCCAAGCAAAGTAACATGAGCCAGTGTGCCTTTTGAAAGGCAAAAAAGTGCACACGTCGTGTAACATGATTCCACACAAAAATCTAAGCCTCGCAGGTTTAAATATCACAGAATCACAGCACAGCAAGAGTCTATTTAGCCCATTAAGAGTGCATTGGTTTTTCAAATGTTTAACTGAATTAGAGTTATTCTTCCACCTTGCACCCATATTCCCTGTATATTGTTCCTTCCTGAGTAACAGTCTAATTCCTTTCTGAATGCTTCAATTGGACCTGCCTCTATCTCTCACGGCAGCAATTTCCTAGCCATAAGCACAAGCTGTGTGAAAAGAATTTATTCCCTTTTTTTTGTTCATTTGCCAATTACTTTAAATCTGTGTTCTTTCATTCTCAATTCTTCCATAAGTGGGAACAGTTTTTTACCTGTCTGGTATCCAGACCTATTATGATTTTGAATTCCTCTATCAGGTCTCTTCTCAACCTTCCCTTCTCCAAGCAAATCAACCTTAATTCACCCAGTCTCTTTTCATCAATCCTGGACCCATTTTCATGAATCTTCTGTGTACTGTCTCCAATGCTTTCACATCCTTCCTGAAGTTCAATGCTTAAAAATGGATTCAATATTCTAGATGAGGCTTAACTAGTGCTTTTCACAAGTACAACAGAACCTCTTCACTTATATACTCAATGCGCCAACGCCAAGGCTTCTGTACACTTTATTAAACACTCTCTCAACCTATCGTGCCTCCATTAATGACTTATGCACATATATTGACAGGTTCCTCATCTTCTTCACTCCCTTTAGAGTTTTACCCTCTGTCTTAGTTTGTCTCTTCATGTCATCAAAAGGAATCATGCCATATTTCTCCATATTGAACTTATCTGACACCTGTCCATCCATTTCACTAAGTTTTCCATGTCCTTTTGAAATTCCACACTATTCTCCTCACAGATTACCATGCACCCAAGTCTCCTATCTGCAAATTGAAATTGTGGCCTGTACACCAGGATCTATAGATTGTTAATCTACATCAGGGATAGAAAGAGTTCCAACACCAACTTCTGGGGAATTTAATTACAAATCTTTCTCCAGCCCAGAGAACATTAATTAGCACTAATCGCTGTTTCCTATCACTCAGCCAAGTTTGCATCAAAGTGCTATCCTTTTTGTTCCATGATTTCCTACTCACAAATCTGTATAAAATGCCTTGTGGTTGTCAATGTACTTATAGAAATTTATGAAATAATGAGGGGTATAGATCGAGTTAATGGTAGTTATCTTTTCCCTAGGATGGGGGATTTCAAAACATGGGGACACATTTTTAAGGTGAGAGGAAAGAAGGTTAAAAAAGACATGCGGGCAATTTATTTACATAGAGGGTGGTTTGTGTGAGAAATGAACTTCCAAAGGAAGTGGTGGATGTGGATATAATTATAACACTTAAAAGATATTTGGATCAGTATATGAGTAGGAAAGGCTTGGAGGGATATGGGCCGGCAGGTGGGACTAGTTTAGTTTGGGATTATGGTTGGCATGGACTGATTGGACCAAAGGGTATGTTTCTGTGCTGTATGACTCTATGTACAAAACATCGACAGCATTGCCCTCATCAACCTTCTGTTCTCTTCCCAGAAAAGGCCAACAAGTTAGTTAAATATGATTCTTCCTTAATAAGTCCATTCTGGATTTGTTTAGTTAATATGCATTTGCCCACATGACTTTTAATTTGTCCTGAATTATTGGTTTGGATATTCCAATTATTAGATGTTAACCTGAACCCTCAATTCACCACTGAACTCTATCCCTCAAATACACCTCCACTGACACTTCATCCCAACCCCTGACAATCAGTCCCACTTGGGCCAGACTAATCAGTGAATAAGTTGAAATTTCATAACAGCCTTTGCAAATTGGGAAACCCAAGCAAAGGGACAGAGGTTCATAGAGGAAGGTCACCTTCAAGAGTAGAAAACAAGGCAAATCAAGGTGCCACTTGATCCCTAGTGATATCCGTAGATATAGATTAACAGGATTTCTGGGAGGGAAGGACATATTTGTATTTAGGATTCTTAACCCAAAAACTGTTTGAGCACTGATAAAATATTTGAGATTACTTTGAACTCTGGAACCGAGCAGAGACAGTCAAACTTGAAAGAGGAAAAAATGCGTAGACAGTATAAAATGGAGTATGTGGATATTTTGGGGTCCATGTTGTGCAGTCCTAAACCATACCGATTATATTTGAACTCAATACAGGCTCAATATGAAGATATGCCAATCAGATCAGAATTTAGAATTTTTCCATGAGCCTCCATGCCTAGGAACTAGAAAGAGAAAAGCCCAACCCAACAACGTTTCCCCAATTGTTTGCTACGTTTTGATGTGTTCAGAAAGCAAGTATTTGCTCTTGGATGAACAAAGCATCAGATCAATCCATGATTGGTGGAAAAACAACAACTTATATTCATACGGTAAAATTTAACCTAATAATAATTCCAAGGTACTTCACAGAGCATTATAATAGAAAACATGACAGTAAACCTTATAAGAATTGTGAGGGAGGAGGCAGAAGGCTTGGTCAAAGCGGTAGATTTTGGTGTGTCTTAAAAGGGGAAAGTGAGGTGGAGACAGGTGGAGGTTTAGCCAGGCAATTCAAGGAAATGGGGCCTTGGCAACAGAAGATGCAGCTATCGAGCAAGTAAAACTAGTCATGCTAAAGAGAGTAGCCTAATAAGAAAGCTTAGAAGAAGAATGTTACCATGAACATACTGCCATATGGCTTCTGCTTGTGCCTAATCAAACTGTAACAAGAATTAGTACTTTTGGGAATGCAGAGCGAAGAAGCTCGTATTAAAACTAAAAAAAAGATAAAGCACAAAACAAGCAAAATTAACTATAAACAGTGAGAATAATTGATGGATTTTAAGTCAGAAAAGTTTAACAAGGTAGCAATAATTTACCATATTCACAAGTGTTTTTTGAGAGTAACATATTTTTTGCAATCTTTTTCAGTTGAATCTGCTTCTCCTTCTCCATCAAAACGTAATCGCAAAGTGTTCTTGATCACCATCTGCTCTGCGACTACTGAAGCAAGGAACCACAGCATTGAATACTCAAGAGTAATTAGGCCCATAAAGTTCCCCCGGAAAGAGGAATAATCCCACGGGCAGGCATTAAACTGTTGGAGAATAAACCCAGTCACAAACTCCCAGACATACGTCCAGATTGTATAGATTAAGCATCTTATTAGGATGTTACACCTCGTCCGAAGGTGAAGATACATTTTTTCCACAATTAGGATTGAAGTGCCATAGATAAAGAGGGACCACACACTGGTAACTCCCAGAAATTTCCAGTTCGCACTCTCAATGAATTCCCATCCAGCTGTAAACATTACCTCGCAGAAGTAACCATGTATAGCATACAGGTACCATCTGGAAAATGTAGTGAGGGCCGTCATTGTGCTCAGCAGTCTCTGTATGCAACTTCCACTTTTTCTGGCAATCTTTTATCTATCAAATGGCAAAGAAATATTAATAATGTTAATGCCACATGGGACAGAGAACAGCCAATCTGTTACAACGAATGAAGCTGTTAAAAGCTGAGAACTGACATTGTAATAGAACATGAAGTGCCTTGAATGGACTAACACAGCCAAAACCTTTACGAGTTCTGCACCAATCAGTCTACAGTTAAAAGGGATTTTAATTTTCCCCATTAAATTCCAAACATTGTCAGTCGCACAAATGACAATCAGCTCAAGGAATAGACTTCAGAATAGATCGAAGGAAACTGCGAAAAGCCCAGAAGGAGTTAAGAAACATTGCCTGGTGCAATTTTTGTGGAGAGAGAGAGATACTAGAGTGTTCGGCAAAAATGAACTGATTTGAATGGTTTTCTCCATCCATATCTGTTTCATAATTGTGATGATGTAAGCCGTGAAAGTAATGTCACTTGTTTTATGTAAACTAATATTGATTAACCTTCTTATTCCTCAGATTTTGGAATGACGGCTTCACTGACCAATCACCTTTAGGATCCTCACTTGTCTAACAACCATATCTCAGGTTAATTGTTTCTTGATCAATTTAAAGGTATGATTTATGAAATTTATTCATTGTTGTTGTATTGGAAATAATAATTTGTTGGAACAACAGCCTGATAAAAGAAATTATTATTTCTTATTTCGTACTTTATTACATTCCTATAAAATGGAAGCATACTTTACAGTCAACACAGTGTGGAACTGAAGGAACAGTCAGCAGCATCAGACCAGCAAGAGAGTCAACGTTTTGAGTCAGGACCCTTCGTCAGAACTGAGGGAGGGGGAAGGGTGCTAGGAAATAAATAGAGGGAGGAGAGGTGGGGCCAGGGGAAGGTAGATGGGATGGTGATAGGTGGATGCAGATAGGGGTTAGTGGGGATTGGTCAGTGGGAAGGGTGGATGGATAGGTGGAAGAGAAGATGGACAGGTTGTGTCCGATCAAGGAGCTGAGAGGGAGGATGGGTGGGGCTGGAGAAACAGATAACAACGTGTAGAGCTGGATGAACACAGCAGGCCAAGCAGCATCAGAGGAGCAGGAAGGCTGACGTTTCGGGCCTAGACCCTTCTTCAGAAATGGGGGAGGGGAAGGGGGTTCTGAAATAAATAGGGAGACAGGGGGAGGCGGATAGAAGATGGATAGAGGAGAAGATAGGTGGAGAGGAGACAGACAGGTCAAAGAGGCGGGGATGGAGCCAGTAAAGGTGAGTGTAGGTGGGGAGGTAGGGAGGAGATAGGTCAGTCCAGGGAAGACGGACAGGTCAAGGGGGCAGGATGAGGTTAGTAGGTAGGAGATGGGGGTGGGGCTTGAGGTGGGAGGAAGGACAGGTTAGGGAGGTGGGGACGAGCTGGGCTGGTTTTGGGATGCGGTTGGGGGAGGGGAGACTTTGAAGCTTGTGAAATCCACATTGATACCATTGGGCTGCAGGGTTCCCAAGCAGAATATGAGTTGCTGTTCCTGCAACCTTCGGGTGGCATCGTTGTGGCACTGCAGGAGGCCCAGGATGGACATGTCGTCTGAGGAATAGGAGGGGGAGTTGAAATGGTTCGCAACTGGGAGGTACAGTTGTTTAGTG